TAACCAATCAATCAAGTACACAATCACAAGCAAGCAAAAAAGCAATCCCAAAGACCACGCATGAATACACATTCCGAATTAGTATATACCAATAACCAATACCATACCAATACCATCCAATACCAATCCAGCAAAACAAAGCAAACAAATTGCCACGAGTTCCATGGAACCCCAACAAGCCGATGGCGATCAAGGAGGCACCCACTAGAAAGCCGCTCATCTGCTGCAGTGCCGTGGCGACATGCATCTGCAGTAAGCCGAGATGGACCGCTAAGCATCCCAGGCCAATCACCTCGGTGAACTCTTTTGGAAATGCGATTGAACTTCCATTGGCAGGGGCGAATAAACTGGCTGAGTTATACTCACTCTCAACTTGTGTGACTGCTTAGTGTCCTTCGAATGGGACCATTGAGATGACGGGGCGAATGAACTGGTCCGTTTACACCAATGTTAGGGCACTTGGAGACTCCAGCTAGATTTATAACTTGGAAGAATCCAATAATGTGGACAGTTGTCCTGTTCTTGACAAGAAGTTCTTGAGATGTTCCGCTAATGATACAAACCCAGTGGCACCCCCAAGGCACCTTGGAAGCATCGGCACCAAAACCCTGCAAACCTTCCTCCCCATCATTCCTCACCTTCTTTCTTTCGTCGTCCAAGGTACCAGCTGCCCGGTGGCATGGCCTGAGCCCCAAAGCGCGCCCAGCCCGAAGGCCGCGAAGACGGACCGCCGCTTGCCGATGACCAGTGGCGCCAGCGCCGCCAGGTGGTCAGGGCCTTTGGTGACAACGGTGAGTCGTGGGGGGGTCTGAAAAAGAATCGGAAACGGAATCTCCCCATTGGACCATATCAAGATGAGGCGTGTATTTTACAGCGGATGTGTATACTGTACATATCATATACAGTATCTCGAGAAACATATGCACAAAGATCATGTACACTCGAAGTCTGTGAAAGCACTTGCTGACCCATCCGATCTTGAATTTGATGCTGAACTACAAGGTGATGCACAATTGGCCGCAAGACGAAGTTCGAAGTTGGTCTGAAGGAATCCAACGAATTGACCGGTGGTCTTCGTCGTTTGTCCTGCTCGTTCTTTCAGAGTTCACTGTAAGTTCAAAGACCCTGCCAGTTGAAAGAGAAATTTATTGAAGGTGCACTTGGTCAAACATACTTCGCGCACTCCAAACATGCATGATATAGCAAGGATTGGCCCATGAGATAGCCAGTTCTATCGACACCCCATCCAAGTCCTTAACCCCCACATGTCCTGACTCCGAAAGACTCTTTAACCCCCACATCTTACACCGCCCCTTCTTGGCTCCTCGGCTCTAGAGCTTCGACGTTTGAGGCGTTTTGTAACGACCGTCGCCTGCCACAGTGTGCAACGCACCAACCGCCAGGCCAATGATCATGGCAATGCCCGGAGACTTGGCCTCGCGAGGGGCGGCCGAAAAAGAAGCAGCGACAAGATGGGCAGAAGTGGATTTGTGGATACACCTTTCTGGCACATCTTCAATTTCTGACTTTCCATCCTCAATTCCTTTCGTCCATCCGCTTGGAGACCGCAAAAAACCCTGTGACCCTGTGCTCCGAATTTGCCAAAGTAGCTCATGAATCTGCCTGACATCCCTGTGGCACAAGGTCTTCATTGTCAACCAACAGGCAAGGGGCAGCACAACATATTGAATATCGACTTCCCAAATCACCATGTGGGCGACCAGGTAGGGGTTTAATTCACTCTGATCCATTATCTTACCTTAACCCCAGCACCACTCTACCTGGCATATGTTCTGCATCCCACACGCCGCGCTCGCCTTCATGGGCGGAGCAAACAACTTATGCATCGCCGCTTCCACAAAGCCTCACGTGAAAACGCCCCTGGTGATTGGATGAGGACCACTGGCACCCGCCAAAAAAGAATGTCAAGCAAAACAGGTGACACGACACCACCACCACGACCACCACCACCGCCACGACCACCACCACCACCACCAACAACAACAACAACAGCAACAACAACAACAACAACAACCACCACCACCACGACCACGACCACAACGACCCCTACTACTTGGATTGTTAATTCTTAACTTTGTAAGTGGAAGCAAGAGGATTCCTAGCTGGGACTGGGGCCATGTGCTGCTCGAATGTCATCGCGGTGCAAAATCCTTAATTGAAGACTGCGACAGAACTGAACAGTAAAAATTGAACAATTGAACTCTCAAACTCCTTGCTGGGCCGTTCCACTTAGGAGTGACACCTCCGAAAAGCCATGCCATGGCTTTCAAGCAAGAACCGAAACTGATCAACTCTTGCGCCCTGAGCACCAAATCCCAACAAATCCACCGTTTCTCACCATCTGCACCCGTGGTCGACCAGGTCGCTAGTGGCGTAGAGCAGCGCCACCAGTCCACACGCCACGGCGATCGACGCCACGACGACCCGCCGCGCGCGCCGCACGGGGCTCCGTCGCGGGTCCTTCACCGTCACCTCGCTTGGGGCGGCCGATCTTCGTGGAAAGGAGGTGGAGAGCGGATGGCATTGAAGGGAGCATTGACCAACAAATGACCACTCTTTCATAAACGTTGCAAGGTTGACGGGCCTTTGCCAGTGGTTCATGTAGGGATACAACAAGCTGTCTAGTTCTCCCAGTGTGTTGAGCACCTCTGGAGTGAACGCTGTTTGGGAATGGTGCATGTGGACTTCTGGGAATCCTCTCAGGTACACCTCTACTACTTCCAATCTTAAGCAATGAACCCCCAAGTTTGGGTACATGCCGAAAAACATCAAACAATTGATTGGGAACGAGCTTCAGGTGAGACAGAAGTCAAACATTAATCATCAAAATACTGCATGTTCGGGATCCAACAATCACTGTTTGATGAGTGGCAGTATTGCTATTGCAGCCATGAAAAAGGAACTCTCCAGAATCAGAAGTGAAGGTTCATCCCCCGTGACTTAACCCTATTAGCCTAAGTAGCAATGTTTAGCCAGGGCCTCCTTATGTCTCCCGTGCTCCCGACCTTGGATAAAATTTGACCTCTGAGGTTTTATGGTGCCATGTTAAGAAAGAAAACACTTTGTTAAGAAAGAATGAGCTTCCTGAGTTTGGTGCGATCAAATGAAGACCATCCAAGTGTCCCATGACCTTTCAGTAGAACATTCTCTTCCTGCAGTTGGCAGAACATCACCACGAAACCTCCCGCTGGATCTCCCAGTTGATGGCAATACTCAGGTTCTCTCCATTACATGCCTCTCAAACGCTCCGTCTTCGCAAGTGAAATGACGATACCCAACCCATCCAATTCCCTCAACAAAGGCCACTCAGGCGCCACCCAGAATCGGATGCACCGCAATCCAAGAGGCACTGGCACTTGCACTTCCCTCACCCTCAGCCTTTGCAATCTGCCTCACCTTGGATATTTCGTGGCGACCTTTGACTCTTGGAACTGGCGTTTCTTTTTCTTGGGTGAATATCCCTTTACTCTTTAGTTCATAAGCTTCAATCAATCTTGAAGTTTTGATCTTCAGACCAGCCCGCAAAAGGTTTCCAGCTACCCGAATACTCATACGACTTCCAAAAATAGCAGTTCATCATGCCCAACATATTCCCTCAACAGCATTGTATCGGATCGCTGCATCGACCAACAAACGTCATTTCAACCCTTGCCTGGCGCCAAGTGCCATTTCTCCCTTTTCCCTCGGGAAATGTTGGACTGCTGTCAAATTGAGTTGTGTTTTGTCTGTTGTGTGTGGCCTTTACACAAGTGTCACTCAATTTGCCGCAAGTCACACTGGCGGGGTATCTGAAACCTCTGAAACTCCTGCTTCTCCATGCTAGCGAGGAGAACGACCCAAGCGCCAAACAGCGCCTGAGTCGAGGAGAGCGGCATTTTCACAGAAACCATCAACCCCCTGCGGCTCTTCCGCAGGGTGTTTCTGCTCATGAGGATGACCCTCCAGATTTGGAGAGCTTTCCTGCTGGGTCTATCCCCACCACAATAACATATGGAACAATCTGGTGGTCCCATTCCCTTCTTCAGACTAAGTTGTGAGCGTTTCAACTGACACCTTGAGTGCTTGACACCTGCAGTCAGGGACACCTTGGTAAGCTAGCATTAACATGCCCATGCGTTTCTCGGAAGATGTCAGCCAGCTACTGTAGGAGCCAAGCTGTATGTTTGCGAAGGCATCTCAGAGGAAAAAGACACGTTATGTGCACCATACGAGGTCCAAACAACGCTGCCTACTTTGTCCGCGTTGAAAATGCCAATGATGCAACTCATATGTATTGGATATATCAGAAGTATCAAAAGCTGGCGAAACCGATCTTTTGTTGGGATCTCAGCTTTGGGTTTTTAAAGGTTCTCAACATTACTGAGACAAGTTGATGTGCAACCAGACTTCTTTGGACCTTTGGCACTGATGATCACCGATGACTGCGCCAATCGCTGCAACTGGATGAAGAACAGCAAAACGGTGAGAAGGGAGTGCATCAGGGTAATGGACACCACAAAATGACCCATGAAAATCATCTCTTTTCCAAGGTGGAGCTGGGTGCCAAGATTCCGTCCTCCAACCTCCATCTGAATCCTGGCCGAGCCACACAAAATCCTGGGTCGCCCCGGCGGACCGCGCGCCACCCTCGCACCAGGCAGGACTCGACCGCGTGACGCCAGCGCCCAGCGTGCTCGGCGCGCGGCGGACCCGCGGGCCCGAGGGCGTCGGGGCCACAGCCATGGGGGCTAGGCTGAGGCTTGTCATCCCGAGAGCCGACTGCGGAAAAGCGAGGGAAACTGGTGGGTCACCTCCAGTGACTCCTGTGTTCACTTCACAAAAGTCACCATTTGTGAAGAATGGTTCTTCTAAAGGGCATCATGCCGCTCTAATACATGAAGAAGGTCCAACCAGGTGAACTCATTTATATATTCATATTATACATGTCTTAAATCTAGTGTTTTTTTTGTCCCAGTCTCTGTGGCAAGCTCAGCATTTTTTGCTTCCACGTCTGCGCGCATGTCAAGAACCACAGCTCACACTTGTCAGGTCGTGTGAAGCGTAACACTCACTACTTGCGGATCACGATCTTGTAATCTTGCCCTTTGCTCGTGTCACCGTACTGGAACATGACATAGTAGCCCTGATCGTGTTCAGGTTCCACATATTTCCAATGATCTGAGACCACTGCAGTGAAACCTGGGCGGCTGCGAAGCCACCAAGTGGGTCAAACGGTCAAGAAACGGTAGTCGGAAAAAACTCGATCATCAAAAACACATATCCATATATATATATATAACCATATATAACCATCTGCGAGCACCTTCGATGTTCAAACATGTTTGCTAAATGAATCGGGATCGCGACATGTCAAGGTCAATGCGTCATGGAAAACTGCAAATCTCAATGAGAGAACCATTCAAGCACCGCCGACACATGAAAAACGGGTTTTGTTAGACTGGTGACTGGGACGGAAAGGCTAAAGATTGTCCCTTGGAAGCACTCGCTGGTCCAAAGAACACCTCTGAAGAGATGGTTTTGAGACCCCAAGTCAGGCGGTTTCTGGCGGTCACTCCAGGAAGTGATGCACTAACTGACTGAAGGGTCCAGGAAACTGTTACATTCGGTCATGTAGAGGCGGAAAATGGATGAAAATGGTTCCTGGAAAGGTTAGTTTCCTCCACAAACAGAGTCCAAATTCATCCTTCGCTTGAGTCAGTCAGACTATAAACATTGATAGCCTCGGATTGTTGACTCTTTGACCACTAAGATGATGGAACACTCCTATCCATCACAGGCAAGAGGCTGCCGCCAAAGTCCTTTTCACACGTCTCCTTGATGCACTTGGTAAAGGATTCGAGGTGCGGGTGCCAGCAGTCAACAATGATCTTTTCCATATCACCTCAGATTCGCTCACTTTGAGTGGCGCAAGGACTTTGTGGATGCATGTGCATGATTTCTGAACAACCTTCTGCGGGCACTGCTATATGGGCGGACCAGCTTTGCCCAAATCCCGAAACAAATTGAAACAACAAACTCAAGACAAAAGTCACATGCATGCACTGGCAGGAGACTACTACTCCTGTGTATTTTGTGCCGCCCTACCCCCCACCCCACCTAACCCCAAGAAAACTGTTCAAGATTGGATCTCACTGAAGCAAGTTCTATTGGCATATATTAGCTTTGCTCAATGGAAGCCGTACACATCGAGCTTTCTCCACGCCCTTTCGAGGAAGATGTATTTCATCGTCTTTGGGTCAGTTGTGTCAGATCTTTGGATCTCAAATGATGCGTCGGAGAGCTGTGCCTTTTGGTTTCCATTATGCTTTCTCTCCACTCAAAATGAAGCAGTGTACCCCAGATTCGGTCAGCCCATGTCGGCCCTGTTTGGTGCCCATGTGGCCGACACTCAGTTTTCCTAACTGAAATGTCGCACCAAGTGTCGTCGTTGCCGGTCGTAGAAGCCACTGTGTTGCCCTGTTTGATAAGGATCCGCCCAAGGTTTCTCATCGCGTCCGTTTGGCGTACCCATCTGGTCTTGCCGGACGCCACTCACAACAAGCATCAAAGTCAAGCCAAGGGTGTATACGAAGGACATGGCTCAAAGAAGGGAGTCACCAAAAAAACGTTAATCTCTTTACTAAACAAATGGCAAGTTACATCAATTTGTCACTTGAGCCCAGAAAGGGGCGGACATCCAGAGCTGCGCAAATGGTGCTTCTGAAGACCTTTGGTCTCCAAGTGGGACTCGATGACTCCAACGACTCGATGATTTGCACGGGAGTTTCAACACCTTGGTCACGTCAAGGCATCTGAAAGGACCAAGGCATCGTCCCCAAACTGTGAGGATCCCTCACTCTTGAGGGAAAGATCTCAAGAACATCATCTGAAACTGAGCAATTTCTGGATAGAACCAGGAGCGGCCAGGCAGGGCAGAAACGACCTCACTGCACTTGGGGAATGGGTATTTTGACACGTAAACAAGGGATTACTATTGACAAAAAATTGCACAGATTGGCACAGGGGCGGACATCACTCAAGGGATTGTAGATATTGTAGGGATGGATACGTTGCGGGGACTACACTGGTCTTGCGACAGATGTATATTGAAAGGCAATGAGCAAATTGTTCATGCCTCAAATGGATTTAGCAAACATTTTGACTTCATCAGAATCAGCGTCAACAAGAAACATGAGGCTTGAAACAGAAGCAGCCAATTTGGGGAAGAATCCTGTAGATCGCCAGAAATGATCAAAGCAATACAGTAGCTCCTGTGAAAGAGATTGAGCTTTGGGTTTTTTGGGGCCTCGGCCTCACCCCATGTCCCCAGTTCAATCATCGACAATTCTGATCATGGCTCATGCTCCTTTTTCGGCGCAGTCTGCGGCTGTTGTCTCGCCCGCACCCAGTGATTCAAAGCGTTCCACTTGCAGTGCTTCACCGTCGCCGACGGTTGACGCAGAGATATCCTCGCGAGGACAAGGAGCAAAGCAGCGTATTTCCTATAGGTACTGAAAATGCGGATGTTTGGTAAATTGTGCTAGTACAAATTTATGCTATCGACCGTTGCGGGGATTTGGAACACTCATCAAAGCAGTTGTTCATCGTTTTGGGAGGCATTGATTCATCTCTGCTATGAGGGGGTCCCCGTCTTCAAACCTCCAAGAGGAATGACATGATCGAAACAGCTGGATCAAAGGGCGAGAACATGTCCTGTCTGATATTGAAGCCACCAAGTCGTGACCAAGCTTCACCAGTTTTCAATATTTGTCATATATATATATATATACAGTCTTTGCAAAAGATACCGCCTTGAGAAGCCCGGGCTATCTTTCTTGGCAACGTGTTCAAATCCTAGGAGTGTATGTGACTACGTGCGAGATTCATTGAATAGAGTCCCTGAAACCTGGTGCGTGGGCTTTGGCTTTTGTCGATGTTTTCAAACATATATTTTAATGATATATAATGGTAGAAGAGGTACCTCCAGGAGCCAGCTACCCCAGGTTCCACTTCAGTGTGCTCATATTGACTCATACCACAGATCGGTCAGTCATCGTTGCTGCGAGTGGTGCTTTCGTCACACCACCGAGTCAAAAGCTGTTCAGGAGTCTTTAGGGACGAAAACCGGCTGACCAACACCTCCGATTGGAAGGGCAAAGGGGCACAGGCTCGAAAAAACAAAACACAAAAGAACCTATATATATATATATACAACACATTACAACACCATCAAACAACCAACCACAATTGCATATGGCATTGGAAGGTCACTCGCTGCTTCCACAAGCCCGTTTCCAGGTTCCAATATGTTCTAATTTTGGATGAGCCTCCAGCCTTCAAAAAGAAGCCTCCGGACTCAACACTCACACCATCTCACATCTCGTCAACCCAAAGAGCCCCTGCTGCACATGCTGTCGCTGTCGGGTCTTGATACCTCAAATTGCAGCCGTCACGTCTGCCGCGGCCTTCCAAAGGATCTCAAAGAGGTTCAGCAACATGGCACGGTCCACCTGCAAGGCATCGTTTCCAGCCAAGACATGCTTGCACACCCAAGTTTAGCCTGAACCTCGGCAATGAAACTACAAAGCCTATCTCCCACATTCCAGAGAGAGAAATCCGTCCACACAACCACCCCAACGCCAACCATACCCAACCACTCTGGCCTAACCACTCAACCACTCGACATCGCTCCGACCAAGCACAGAAAATTCCACCCCACCAGCATCCACTCCACCCCCGCTCCATCCACCCGCACCCCGCCTCCAGATCGGCGGCTCCGCCGATGCCCAACGATGGCAACGAGTTCACCTCGCAAAGCCACGGTCGCAGCGCATCCTCGGCGGCGATGTGTCTGCTGTTGCGGTATTGGACCGGCCAAGCTGGAGAAAAAGCGTACGGACGATGAAGATGATGAAGAATAGGAAGGTGTCCAAGATGTACAATAGTTGAAATGAAACATGAAAGTGCATGGAACTCATTTGGAAGATCCCCCCCAGTTTTGCTGCAAGGTCATTGGATGGTCAAGATTGGTTGAAGCCTGGGCCCTCCGGTTCGCCCCCTATGACTATGACATCTTAGTCATAAAGTAACTAAAATACACGTGCAATGAAAAGTCAAGACGGCTAAGTCTTAGTCGTTCGAGCCAACTCGACCCAACAATTCCAAGATTTGGTGTCCAAACTCATGCTCCCCACGCACTGGTGCGCTCGCACAGTCAACCATGCAAGCTCGTCAACTCCCTCAGTTAGGTGGTCTTCCAGATCGACCATTGGCTGTTTGCGGAGTCAAACACCAAAAACTCATGAAAAGTCACTTCAGATGCCCCCCGAAACCATCATGATGTGTCTATCCCCCTTCGAATTAAGGAGGGGTGGGTACACCGATTCTAAAACGTCATAAAACGCTGCATATGATATCCATATGATATTTACGTTGCATCGTTTGGGTGCAGACTTTTCGAACAAGACATGGACCATCAACATGGACCCTGAGTCCATCTTGGTGCATCTTCGGACCGCTGGTCCTTAAGCCATCTTGAGCCCCCCATGCCAGTGCCTCCAAGGCTCATCCACTAGAACATCAAAGCCAAAAAGCCTTCGCTTCTCTTGCGGGAACCGGCGGGAACAGCCAGACATCGGGTCAAACACATGAACTCCGCATTCTCATGTTCAATCAACAACTTGTTGATGGAGACGAATCGTGGGACCGAGCCTGGATCGAGCTTTGGACAAATGGAAAACAAAGTCGTTTTTAAATGACTCCAAAAAGCTGAGCTGTGGTCTACTACCAACTCACCTGCCAAAGTTTTAACATGAACCTTCGGTGGGTCGTGTGTCACCATCGGTCACCATGGGTCACTTCGAATGGAGGCTTCGGTGGCCGAATTGCAACAGCTGCCAACTCCCAAAAAGAATCAAATTTGTTGAAGACTCTTGTGCACAATCGAAGCGCTCAAGATCCCAAAAGACCCTCTTCCTCTGCAACCTTCCCAGCCAGTCAAAGGGACTGCCCCAAAACCGACCCACTGGCCACCGCGCGCCGAACACCGCCCAACCAAGCCGCTCAAAGCACCGGTCGGTCACCGGCAACTGTGCGACCGCTTGGGCGATCGTGGGCCTGTTCGCTCGCTTTTCGCCGGGGTCGGGTGCCGGTGGGATCAAGTGCCTGGTGGTCTGCCTGGTGGATATTAAGAACTCAGAAACCTGATTGGTGATCAATGATTAGATTGCCCCTTTTTGATGGTTCTTCAATGTTCTTCACCTTATGCCCTGGGGTATGGTTTGAGCATGTTTAAACACCACTCAGGGTTGTTCAAGCAGCTGACCCCAAACGCCTCGCGCCTCGCAGCTTCAAGCACCTCCCAAACCAGCGCTCGGATGCGCGGCCAAAGTGCCTCTCGCGGCGTCGCGACGGTGCTTCCTCAGCGATTCGAGGGTCCAGGATTTCAAGGGTATAAAGATGTGCATCGTGCACAAAACAGGCGGAGAGAAAGAAACCATGTCCGCCCTCGAGAGAAACATAAATGCAACATGGGGAAAACCCTTTGAGGTGGTCTACACAGATTGCTTTAAGACCACCGCTACTGTACTTTGTAGCTGGTCATGGTGTCCATTTGTGGCGCAGGACCTCACAAACAGCTTCAACCTGTCGTCCAAAAAACCGATCAAGTTCCTCCTTGGCGATGCATGAAACTGACCCAGGGGGGACGAAAGGTCACGAAAACCGTCTCATGAAAAATGCTACACTGCAGGCACCCCAAAAGGCCCAACGATTGTGGGACGGGAAAACCACAAAAACGGCCAAGCAGGAATGGTGTCCTGTGGCCGGTGAAGTAACAAAACCTGACATGGCTGAGCCAACGGTGACAGGGATGAAAGAAATTCCTTTAGAACGCCCCCATGACCACCGTGGCCAGCTACTGTAGCCACTTGGTGTCTGGTTTTTTCAATGTTTTGGTATTTCATAGTTTTGAAACATCACAAAAGCATACAAAGGCCCAGGACTGACAGCCATCTCCCACCAATGCCTCCACATTGTCAGGAGCAAAGGCTGTTGAATCTGGGAGAGCCACAAAGGAGTCGCTGAACAAAAAACAACTCTGTCACGCGAGAAATTGCAAGAGGACTCTTTCGAAACTCTTCGAAACCGTCATCCAACATTTGTTGGCCGCCCTGCCCCCCCCCTCTTTGTTGCACCAAAAAATGCTTGGACTTCTAGTAGCTAGAAACTAGTACAGCAGGTTGGAGGCCATCGCTGGTAGGATGGAAGCCATTACTACTAGTAACAAGAAGCTGCTAGTAACAAAGGGCATCGCTACTAGGAGCAAGGACGCTACTAGCTCCTGGCCTTACTACTAGTAACATGCAAATAAATCCCGCACTTTAGGAAAGACATGGAAAGACTCTCGTGGCTGCATGGCCTTTGGGAGCAAACCAGCCGCAACTGGGCCGAGGGGTTTGGGTCAATGAGGTTTAGCATCAAAAAGCAAACAATCATAAGTATAAGATAGTATAAGGATTCATGGCACCCTAGCAACCGCGGAAGGTATTCATCATGTTGCCATTATGAACAATAATCAATCACCCGATCTTCCAGTGTGCCAATTGTCGCGTGACTGGCCATTCTCAGCCAATGAACCCTCGCCTTTCAACCACTTCAGAAGCTTTGACAGGCGCCAGTTCCCGCCTCAGTGGAGGGACCACTCATTGACCCCATCCCCGCTCCTCCCCCCATCTTCATCCTGCACGTCGGACCCTCTGAACAATGCTTTGGTTGTTTGTGGTTTGCTCACCTACTTTCTTCATGTGATACAGTGATACAGTAGTTGTCACGCTTCCGACATCTCCAACTCCTCATCAAAGGCACAGTTCGCTTGCCCAGGCCCATTTTGTTTCGCATGCTTCCTCAGCCATGCGTTCGGATTCTGCAATTGGTCTGCAGTAGCTTTACCTGCACATACTGATCCCCCTTGGTACTGACACCAAGGGTAGATCCCCAGGATTTTACATACTAAAATCCTACCGAACCAAGGTGACTTTCTAGTTTTTCAGTGGTACCCTAGGTTTTTTCGCTAGACTGGGTTTTAGTAAAGTCCTACGAAACCCACATGCCCTAGAGGGTTTGGAACCACGGAAAAAACAATGAGACCGGGCTGGTCATATCCCTGGTTGAATCCTGGGTATCAAGGTGCAAAAGAAGCAATTTAGAAAACACCAGTTTTGTGGTTTGGATTTTCTCCTACAGTGTCGCTGCAGGCTTTGGAAGCTGAGAAGACTTCCCGGCTGGAGCAGATCAAGAAATTGATACAGGAGGCCATGTTTAGAACGATTGAAATTTCATATGCAGGAAGAGGGAGGGAGAGAGAGAGAGAGAGAAACCACGTGTGCAGAGCAGGGTCATGAGGAACTTCTCAATTGTCTTTTGTAGATTCCAGGCCCCTACCTGACTTCCAATGGTCACGTCAAACCCCTATGTTTTCAGTATGGCGTAAGCAAGGGGGGTGTCCTAGTTGAATAAGCCTTCCCAGAAGCCTACACTATCTACTCCAGAGGACGGACTTGCAAATTTTGCAACGGCATTTCGCTTCCCTGCCATCGCATGCAGGAGCATTCAGGCGAATCGACGGTTCATGGCTTGGCGGACAAACCATTGAAGGAGGACTGGTTGAGAGGTGCTTGCTATTGCAGTTCAGTGGAGGCCAATAGTTTTGTAAAATCCTGTAGTCTAACGTGTTTTGGAAGTCCTGGCACCTACGTCTCTACATCGTCTCTACTACCTTGGGCACCAGGATTCTTCAAACCTCCATTTGCATCATTTGCCTTTTGTAGATTCCTGGCACCTACCTGACGTCCTCTTTTGATTTATACTGAAACATTGAGGTCTAGGTCAAGGATTTCAGTATGGCAGTACGAAGGGGGATCATACTGTAAAGCGGGTGCTTTGTGATGGCGATCTGAATCTGGCTGAGGACAGCACCAAGGACAATGTGAAAGGTGGCTCATTGATGTCGGTTTTGGTTCATTTCCAGGTCTTCAAATCTTTGTTCCATGTGGTCGAACCCTCAATCCTTGAAAACTCTTCCCCCTAGTCGGCCCAGACGCCGCGCACAACTGCTCCGAGCTACGCATTGACCTGCCAGAATGCTTGACGTCAACCGGGTGAAACTCTTACAGTATGATGACGCACAGCTCCAGTTTACGACTGTGCTTGGTGAGCCTGTGGGTTCATGGAGTCTGTTTAGGAAGGGAGGGATGTGGAAACTTGGATCATGTCCATTCAGTGACACGTCTTCAAACAATTTCTCTTAGCTATATACTATAGGCTATAGACTTATCGGTACTTATAAATTATATGTTACAGACTAACATGAATAGCCGGGTGACCTGTCAGATCCTTCCAATGTATGATTTGTGAAGGATGACAACTTTTTTGCCCAGGGATCTGCGAGAATCTAACGAGCACCATGTGCGAACCGAAAGAACAAGGTCTATGAGACAAACCACGAAGTGAGAGGAACCTTAACCCACTGGGTGTTCATCTCTGTCGGAGTCTTTCAATCCACTCCGCCTGCTCCACCTGCTCCGCCTGCTCCGCGCCTCGTTGTTAGTGAGATGCACGCAGGGGTTGCCCAGCTGCGCTGCCGACATGGTGAAGGCTTCGCTGGCGAAGCGCACCAAGCCCTCGTTGAAGAGATACGCCTCGGGTGCGGCCGGAGCCGTAACAAGTCAGAGGCTACAGATCGGAAAAGGATCGAAAGGGGGTGAGGACCGAAGATGACGGGGCACACACCATCATTGAATTTGCTCATGTGCAGTGTTGGAAAACCAGCGGATCACGGGCAGGATGCCTCAGAAACGGACCGAGCAATCGAAGACGATGCACCAAGTTCGGCCCGGGCCAACCAAATGAAACAGCTAGAGGCAGACAGGCTCTTGGCAGTTGTGCGAACCCAACAAAGCACCATCATGAAGGCTATGACAGATCATGACGAGCATGAAAACCTCTAGTTTATGAATGTTTACGAAGGATTTGTGCTAGAAACTTGGATCTTCGCCCTGAAAAGCGCAAGATCCTACTAAAATGCCCAATGGGCTCAACCTAGCCGAAGATCGATCTCTGGTTCTTTCCAGTTGGAGATCGTGTCCCTCCCAATGGGCCGTTGATGCAACATTGCTTTCACCCGGTGAGCCGCCTGGCACGTCCCCGCCTCCGCCGCCTGACCCGCCTGACGGCGCGCCCCAAGGATGGACATCAGCTGTTCTACAAAAGTCAACTCACAAGTCTACAAGAGTCAACTGACAAGAGTTGAGACGGCCACAGCTCACACCCTCCAAAATCCAGCATTGAAACATATTGAAACTTGTCCCATGTTCACATGTCAAACAAAGAATCACGCCCCCGGTCTTCTCATCTTGTCTGGATTATCTGGATCTGTGAAAGGCATTGCTCGCCGCATCGTGCACTGCATCCGACCGGCCCTTCGATCCGGTCCACCTGGCCGAAGGAGGTCACGAGCCTGAAGGCGAATGGGAACGAAGATCGGGTCGGTGGGCGGGAACTGGCCATCCAATCCACTCAGTGAGAGGTTGGATCAATGATTCGGGTTCACTTGGCTCATTCTGTTCTTTTCTAAGGCTTCGACTTGCTATCTACAGATCATGGATTAATGAGAAGAAGCCCTTCGACATTCACTTGTCTGACGTTTGGCCGAGGGTCACATACAAGCGCAAGTCCACCTTCTTGCCTTCCACCAGCAGGGGTTTCTCCACCTGAACTCGGCATGCGAGGATGTGTGGATGTCCTCCTAAACCTGACTAAAGTCCACATGAATCCTGGAAAGAAACCTGAATCGCCTCCAAGAAGGCTCCAAAAGTGGTTTCGGGTTTTCGGGGCAGGTGGACTTTCAGCGGTTTCTTTTCATGGAAGGCCTTGAAGGCCTTGAAGCTTGGTCTTTCCGAGGGCGACACATATTGACTCACCACGGCCGGGCACGAGGTGCCAATGGACTCGAGGAGCTCCTCCTGCGAGATGCAGGTGATTGGGCAAGGACTCGACTTAGAAGAGCCATGCCAAGTAGTATACCTTCCTGGGTTGCTTTATTGCTTTGATCTCCTTCAAAAAAAGAGGGGGAGGGAGCAGCGCCTCCCCCGCAATGCCACCAAGTCTAGTGGCTTCGTTGGTGGGGTCCGTTGGTTGCTTCGTTGCTTGGCTTAACCCCCGCGTGGCTCACAAACGACATGCTTTGGAATGGCACCTTCCTGCTCTAAATTTCACCCCCGCGTGGCTCACAAAAGGTATGCTACCTTGGAAAGGCACCTTCCTGTTCTAAACTTCACCCCTGCGTGGCCCACAAAAGGCATGCTACGTTGGACTGGCACCTTCCTGCTCTAAATTAAGCCCCCACTATAAGAAAATGAACTACCACAAGATTAAAAAAACACCAGAAGAAAAAAACACCACCAAACAAAAAACACCCTCGGAGAAAAAAACACCAAAAGAAAAAAACTACCAGAAGAAAGAAACCACCAGAATAAAAAACACAAGAAAAAAACAAAAAAAACACTAGAATCTAGAAGAAAAAAAGCCACGAGAAGGAAAAAAACACAAGAAGAAAAAAACACCAACAAAAAATCAACCCTCAGAAAAAGAAAAAAACACAACAAGATCACAGTCCTCTCCAGTCTGCCCTTTCCCAGTTAGCCCGGCTGCACCTCTTGTGCATTTGCCCACCCTCCTGGCAAGCAGTCCCCCACGAGACCAACCTCAACCAGAGATCTCAAGGACCACAAAAGGACCACAGAACTCTCCGGCCCACCCTGATGGGAAACGAATTGAAAAAAATATGAGAAAAATGGATTGTCTTGACCCCTGGGCTCTCTTTTGCTGCCATGATGCAGAAGGTCTGTGTTGGTGCTTTGCACCAACCCAGTTGTTTGACCCAATGGCAGGGTCTTGTGAAGTCTTCCTTGTGCACTCTGTGTGTCCCCCTGTGTTGACTGGAAAGTGGCACTCTGTGTGTCGCAACGTGACTTCACTTTTGCAAATCGCAGAAAGATACCCGGGATCAGGAGACGGCCAGCTCCGACGCAAATCACTCACCTCAGTGATTGGGAGTGAATAACATGTTTGGGACTAGCAGACTGGCTGATCTTTGCAAATACAAGTCCACCTACACAAACACCATTTACATCCTACCTTTCAAGAGACTCTCACAAGTCTCACGTCTCCCAAAATGCCCAAGATCCTCTTGCTGCTTCCAATGGGTCCATGTTCAGAGTCCGAACATCCACTGGTCTTCACCCGCCTCGCCTCACCGGTCTTCACCGGAGGGTCACCGGATGTCACGGGTCTTCTTCACCAACTGCGGCCACGTCGAAAGGCCGGTCGTCGAAACGGTCTCCCCACGTTCTGCCCACGTGCCCGACCGTTTCTGCACCATCGAATGACCAGCCAGTCTTTATATGATTATAAACAATCACCTACAAATCACCTCCCAAAAGGAAACGTCCGGAGACATCCGGACATGACGTCCGCTGGGGCGCCCGGCGGACGCGAGGCGCTTCGAACCACAGGGCCCCACGCTCAAGGGCCGGCGGTTGGAACGCCTGGGATTGGAACGCCCACAGCGTCAAACCCAAGCAGATGAGCAAACTATCTGAACGCCATGAGTGAACGTGTTCCAGGCCTTCAAATCCTCGCTCCCTCTCACTCCCTGCGACCATGTTTGTGTCAAATTACTGCATACTAATGCTAAACACTTTGGTTTTTGAGGTCCCTCACATCTTTTTGGCCGATGCGACTTTGGCCGCTGGCAAACATCGTTCAATCAAAACTCTCGGCTTCCGGCCGTCTCATCCGCTGCTCGATATGAGCCCTCGGGTCGGGTGCAAAGTAGCAGGGTAGCTCAAGGATGAGAGAGCAGGGCAACTAAGCTGACAAAATGTTGATCCCCACAGGCTAATATAGACTCTGACTAAGGCTAACCAGGTGTCACTCCTTTCCTCTTAGAATCAGTGGTTGACTGTCCTTAGCGATCGATCTTGGGATGTCATCGAAACCGACAATATAAAGTAGGTCATGTCACTTCTTGATCTTTGAGTACCCCAAGTGGGTTGGATCTTGATGGATAAAGCCAAGTTGAGTCTTCCGTTCTCGCCATACAGGCGGGTGCAAACTCCATGAAACGCGCGTTGGGCACGTTCTGGCAGAACAAGGGGCTCCAGAAAATTATATGAACACATGCTAGGAAGAGTAAACCGAATTCCTTTGGCATCGGCAGTTCCAAGGGATGTGAGACACTGGATGCCAAACCCCAAAGAGTTGGACCTCCCCAGGATTCCAAAGCGGGCACCATCCTGGCATCTTCGGGCGTAGAACATCAGACAAACATGCCAACCCTTTAAGCTGCTGGCTCACGTACAAGTTAGTTGCTTCGCACCACGGGAGGAAAACACAACGAAAACAAAAATACGAACGAACGGACGAACGAACGAACGAACGGACGGACGGACGAACGAACGAACAAACAAACGTTTGTCGGTGTAAACATGTGTAAACCATGGGACATCCTCTCTACCCGAACGGTGGAGACGCGATCAGACTTGGTCGCGGCGAAATGTGTCCCGATGGCGAAGGCGCACTCCGTCGCGGACTCGGACGGGCTAGGGGGTTCTGCGCGGAGTCGAGCGTTTGTCTGAGTGTCCGGACCAGTGTTGAGGTGTGCATCCTGCGATGTCTTTGGACATCCGGGCATTTTCCTGGTCGATGGTGGGACACGGGCCAAGCAATCGGACATCCAGTGACATCCACGGTTCACGACCGATTGTGGACACTGTTTGTGGGGAACAGTCCGTCTAGAATGATGAACGTGAGTGAGTGGAACGGGGACGGCGTGTTCCTGGCAGATACAAGAAACGGTCTGAGAGAGATGATGTACGACTTGTTTTGTGGGGGGTGCGCAGCGCCACACATCTTTCCGTCATTTTCCGTCCCTCTCTGGCAATTGTGGATGGGCTTACAAACCGACACAATTTTTTGCGGTATTTGCAGCACTTTTGATATTTCCTCCGGGCAAGTTGCAAACGCAGGGCACGGGTGGGGTGGTGCAGAGATGCTTGCAAACGCAGCTGACGCTACGCAGTTGAAGTTGCAGACCGTCTGTCATTCATGAGCAATATAGGGATCTTTTTCTTTCGGGTTGCGTGTCTTGCTGGTGACTTGATTTGCACTTCTGCGTTCATCACAGGCCATCCTACTCCCGGCAGTTTGAATGTTGCTGACAGGTCTTGACTCTCATGACCTCATGACATGTTTCACACTCATAGCTGATGCAAAGCAAGTTGATTTCAAAACTGGCACTGATTGTACTCTCCAACACGATCTACGTTGTCCTTTGGAGACCAACAGGTGGAGTCTGGCTTGGCCATGGATCAGGGGACACGGAATTTACACTATGTCGGTTGGCTATACACCCTTCAGGCTACTTCTGGCTCCAGTTCCTAGTTGATGAGCTTGGGCGACCGCCAAGAGTCTTCACTCTTTGGGTCCCAGACATCCCACGGCGTGTTAAGATGCATTGGCAGGGGAACGTGATACGAAGAATTTTGGGTCTCGAGAGGTTTAAAAAACTCTTCAAAGATTTAGACAAGTTCCTAAACATCCTATTTAAAAAATTAAATAAGATAGAATACACCCTCCTCTCACTTTAGCTACCCGTCGACCCATCATGGAGAGGAGTGGATCAGGACCTAAGCTGTCGGATCTTCGCTGGACCCGTGCGTTTTTGCCGCCCCAATGATCCCACTCCCCGATCTCAGAGATGGATCCTCCTCGTTCAGCAGCAGCCATAGGATCTCTTTGTCCCCGTGAGCACCGCGTCCTGAGCAGAAGGGGCTCCAGGGACCAGACGGCAGTGGGGTCGGATTCTTGGCAGGGGGGGGGGCTCTCTGAAAATGAGAAAGGATTGCAGCATGCCCTTGTTGCTAGTAGCGATCGATGCCCTTGTTACTAATAGCTTCTTGTTCTTAGCAGCAATGCCAGGAGCTACTAGTAGCTTCTAGCTACTAATAGTAATGCCGTAATGTCGGTGTTACTGGTAGCATTGGTTACTAAAGGAATGGCTTTGGACCACATGACACCAGTGAAGAAATTTTCAGTTGTGGGGAAGGCTCTTCTTCAGGATCTAGGCTCTAGGTAAATTTTTTGGGGGTGACATGGCCGCGATAGTTGTGCCGTCGGTCAACTTGCCACACATCAACCACATCGATTATCCGGAAGCCACACAAATTCACATGTGCAACCGTCACAAAGATGATCTTTAACGTCCTCGTCAGCTTTCTTGTTCTTGAACAACTTTGCTGGTCTCCACCCAACATCCACCAACCATCCCAAGTGTGGGACTCTACTCCAACTTGCAATCCTTCACACTTGTTGCTCTTCGGCGGTTCAAACAGACAACTGTATCCCTCCAACTCCAACCTGTACCGCTCCCTCCACTCCGCATGTCCACAACTCTGCCTGCTGCGCTGTGTGTCGGGGTCCAGCCATCTTTGGCTAAGATCTCCACCGCCGCGTTCCTGCAGGCAGCATGCATGGTTCTCCACCGCATGGGAGGAAGGTTGATGGACATCGCCGCTGTGGGCTTTGGGAATCTATAGTCTTGGAATCAGCAAATCAGGGAATCATCCCCAATGGTCAATGTGTTCATCGATGCCCGCATGAGTGTGTCTCCTAAAGGGAGAAGCCCACTTTCGACCTTTTGGCGAAAGGATCTGTGCAGGAAAGCCATGGGGCCCTTTCATTGGCTCCTTCTGGAGAATATGCATCAAAAGGACCGGTACGAGTATCGAGCAGGGCCTCAGGATAGATTCCTTACCAATGTGATACACTTGTTCAGGCACATCGGCTACTGTATACAGCTGATTTGCTCATCCCAGTCCCACCGGCGTTGGCTCCAACCGTTTCACCGGGTCGTGCACCAATCAGCTCCCAACAGCCCCTCATCCGCCCAACAGCCACGGGCACCGGGCCCGCGGAATTCTAAGGTCACTGGGAAGCCGAAGGACGAGGAGACGTACTTGCTCCTCCGCGGGTGGTGCGAGCAAGTACGTAAGAGTCGCGTTGGATGTGTGAAGCATTGTTCATTCTGAAGAAGAATCTGCACTAAAGTCATGAAGATGAACTGGATCACCCAATTTTATTCAATTTTGATCATTTTCGAACACCAAAACCCTGTTTCTTCTGACTTCACGCACCTCAAGGATTCGAGGATGTTCTTGTGCAAGGGCGGCGGTTGTCGATAGCTCAGGAAGCCGGCACCGCTACAGGCCTCCGCTACAGGACCCGGTCCCAGAGGGTGGAGAAGACACACGGGCGTTGTGTTTTCTTCGTATGGGCTTTGGAGCCTTTGGCGGGGTGAATTATGGCAGGATGGCGATGGCTTTGGGGGTTACGAGTGGCACCCCATGGTTTGTGCCAGTTTGGTCCAGGTGCTTTTGCGACTCCATATGACTCGATCCATCTCTATCTGGCGCAGCCAGGCGCAGCCTTCCGCCTCGCCATCCCGAGCAATTCCCAGAAGGATGGAGGTGAGAGGAGCTGGATGGAGGTGTCAGGCCCACCAGAACCCAGAAAAGCTCCAACACCCACCTGGCAAAGTGACGACTGATGTCATGGGCCCCCCGATCAAACCGCACCACGCAGCGATCCCAGCCTCAAGGCGATCGCCGGGCATCAGCCCAGCGCTTTCCGCCTTGCTCCCAGGGGCCACAGCCTTCACCGTGGAGGCCGTGAAGGTAGGCAGGCGTCGATCGCACCACGAACCGCACCGACCGCCTGCTTTTGAAAGAACATGCCATTGTAAAGGAAGATGTTCTCTCAATCTACTGTGCTGGCCTGTTAGGAAAGGGTGCTCATCAAGATTCCGAGCATTCTCTAGTGCCGAGTTTAGGGGACCCATCCGGGCATGGTTGGGGGGGACCCAGGACCCATGTGAGTTTTGCAGGTGCCCATTCCAAATCCCACGACCGAGGAACCCGAAGAGTAGCTCCAATAAGCGAGATGAACATGTCACGCCAAGTCATCCACAAGTTATACCAGTGTGTTCAGCAAGGGGCGGTATATAACTTCTACTTCTACATATTATGTTTGTCCTTTAGTTTGAGAAAGCAACTATACTAAGTTTCCAAACAAGCGAACAACTGCAGGAGCCGAGCCTCGTTAATCTTAATCTCCGTCGACTTGCCACCTGCCACCTGAGTGGCTCGCTTTTCGAATTGATGAAGACCCGCCAGTGGGCATCGAAATCATCGTCTTTCAACCGCAACAAAGACCATTATCAAGTCTTCTGACATCGGAGAAATCCATAGAAATCCATAGAAATCCCGTGAAATCCCTGAGTTTTCAGGTGGGCGCACGGGGGAGAACAAGTGATTGGTGTTGAGGGGGGCCCTCAATCCCCTCCACAACGTGAAAGAGAACTGGTCTCAAGGATTCTGGGACAGCTGGAGGTCCAACAAGGGTTCCATCGTGAAGAGCCTCCCCAAGCGCCTTCACCCCAAGCTCCAAATCCTTCAAGAGCTCCTGCCCCAAAGATGGTGCATCCAGTCACAAATCTGTTTCTGGGTGGTGAGACTATGTTAGACTTAGCTTCTTAGCCATTGTTCATTGTTCAGACTTCAAGACAGGTCAAAACACTCTGAACACTGGCCACTGGGACCGGCTCGCACTACTGGCCAGGAGCACCACTGTCTTGGCACAAGCTGTACAGCCATCTGCTGTCTACAATGATACCCTAAAAGGCATTGCTCAACCTGAGAGTGCCTTGCCAAAGCCTTTTGCCCGAAATGTGTCAGAATGCAAGGAAACAATGGCAAGCTCACGTCCATACACTGCAAAGTCAGTTCAAAGAAGACTTGGCATGTCTGGCAGTACCAGGACACTCAAGTTTTCGCTCCTGCTTGGTCAAGACAGCTTCACCCAGCTAAAAACACCGTCCTCCTCGGTGCTGTAAATCAGGGTCTTCAAGGAGAAGGTCTTGGGATCTCTGTAGAGTTGCAAGACCTGGCCACTTGCAGAGCTCGCAAAGCTCAGTGTAACAATTCCTCAATCGGTGGCATCCCAGTCAACCTCAGGGTAATCCTGTTGGGGATGCATCATGTCGTGGATGAGTCATTGTATCGATATTAATATGCAAATATGCTTCACAAGGCATCCTCCCTCTCTCTCTAACAAAGGAGCCCACAGGAACACTCCAACTCGTGAGTGTTTGGCCACGGGTCGCCCCGCCAACTCCGACGCAGCAAAAGAAACGAAAGAGGTGACAGGAGGCCGTCATGTTTGTTCCACAAAGAGGAACAAAGAGTGATCCAATCCATGGACAAGTGATCTGCTCCTACATCCACGACCGAGCATAAGTTGCCATAAGCAAACAGAATGAGGCTACGCTGAGGCTTGGTTGAATCAGTTGAACCAAGAAAGATTGCCAGAACTGACAAATGATCCACAGAGTAACAATCATCTATCTCAAACTGTGGGGAGCCTCTCAAAACCCTGTAACCCCCCCAGACGGTAAAGGGAGGGATCAAGCCGCGCCGCGCCTTCGAGACGAAGGCAGGCTCTCCAGACATCACTGCATGGTGTAGCGCCTCCCCCCATGGCACTCGACGGCAGATCCGACCGGCCCCGAGACGGAGACCGTTCCTGGCGTCGGTGATTCGTTTGGTGAAGACCCTTGGTCTCAAAGGAATGGAACAAAGCACAATGACACGAAAAATATGGAGTGAAAATAGGCTTGTCGTTCACAACTCAAGGGTATTCAAGGGTTCGTTCTTCTGTGGGTCATCCTGTCACAATCTCAGTGGACATCTTACAGTAGGATGATTTAGCCTTTTAATATGACAACCATACACTACGGGTCCATGTAGAGGTAGTGTTGTCACTCTGGTTTGCCCCCAGACACACATCCCCTAGGCCCGCATCGGCCCAGTTCACACCAAGCTCGCTTCTGCTCGTCAAGCATCGCTCGGTCGTCCGCCTTCGCACCGTCGTCCGCACCGTCGCCGCGGTCGCCGCGGTCGCCGCTCGGTGTCCCCACCGACAAGCCGTGAGCGTCCGTCAAGCCCAAAAGGTAGGGATAGTGAGAGACCATGGCATGTACCTCGTGGCGAAGGAACTGTGGGAGTACAGATCTCAATGTCCCAAACCACTGCAAAGGTTTGCAACGCTGGCGAAAAAAGGGCGTAGAAAATGAGTTGCGCAGCTGATTGGCTGGGAGGCGTGGTAGTACTATCCCCCTGTGTGAACAAGCACTGTGCGATGCGTCTTACACCCAACCATGCAAATCACTCCCCAACAACTAAATGTGTCATTCGCCCTAACCGCCCCAGCACCTTTACGGTGGTCTCAAACAACTCATTATATAATTCACATGCTGTCCTAGCGTCTCTACCGCTCTGTCCGCTCAGTCAGGAGGCACCCCTCGATAGTTGCTGGCCTCACAGTAGGCAAAAAGCTCCTTCACAAATAGAGAGCAAACAGCATCAGTGGGCCGACGAAAGTGTCTCGAGTTGGCGCAGGGTGGCAGGATATTGTATTTGGTGGGCTCTTTTTGTCCATCCGACGTTGGAGGCGCAGTGCCAAACCCCCAATGCAAAACACTGCCAGCCACCCCTTCCAGTCACCGGCCCAGAGCGGATCTGAGTCCTCGCTCCGCGTCGCTTCGTGCCGCACGTCCTCGCAGCCCTCCGCCCGCTTCCTCACGCTGCGCGTCCTCGCGCTGCGCGCTCCTTGAGCTTGGCCATGTCGGTGTCCAACTTGGGCTGCCTCACTCGGCCCTTCACCTCTGCGCCTCAGTGAAAGAGCTGAAGAAAGCGCACTCCGCTGTCGACCGGTGCTCCAAAGGGCGACTGGTCCGAACTCGTGCCCAATTGAAAAGATGGACAAGGGAGCCTCGTGGGCCTCGAAAGGTACAAAGCTGCCAGGATTCCGACGGATGGATGACCTCCTTTCTCAAAGCCTCCTTGTAGTATGTCCCTCCCTGAAGAAATTTGGAAGGTGGATTGGGTTGGTCCTTGATGAAATTCTTCAACCAAAGTCAATGGTGATTCCACTGGTGTCAAGTTCACTTCCACTTTATGGCGTTTTGCCCCTCTCATGCTGACCAGGCGGCGCTGATAGTAGCCCACGTTGCCAGGGATGGAGTACCTCGGGCTGACACGCCACGCTCACAACTCCCCAGTTCATCCCATGGGCCACCCCGGCATTCAAGTAGTTCAACCAACACACAAACCGAACTCATGAGAGGTTTTTTTGTCCAGGTCCGTCAGAGTCCAAGCGGCTTGTTCAGGAACCCAAATCTCAATTGGTAGTGGCCAATAAGATCGCCCTAACACACTGAAGTTCTGCATGAGCAGAATGGTCGAAGTGCTGAAAAGGATTCCTTACTGTGAAATCTTAAGGGTGTGGTGTTGGCTTTTGGTCCGCCCCGCATGGTTCTTGCTGGGAAGGCAATTTGGACCAATTACCAAACCCACCTCGTCTACCTTCGCATAAACACCAGAATAAAGCAAGCAACCTAGTGTTATTTTGCTTCTAAAACAGATCTGTCAATGTCCACAAAGATCTACAAAGACCATGAAAACCTGCCAGCTTCCCTTTCCTATTCAATCCTGTTCAAAAGAAAATGACCACGGTGTCGATGGCTTTTCGGACCCACTCAGTGGTTCTCTGGACCCATCCACCGCCACCGAGTGCCCCCACGGCGTCTTGGCTTTGGCCGTTCCCCTGGCCGAGCGGTGGAGGGTTCAGCGTAAACCAATCCCTACTCCAAACCCAACTCTCCTCTGGGCGACCTGACTCCCAACCCATGCCGGCACGACGCGCCACGGCTCTGCCCTCGGCTCTGTGCCCGGCTCTGCGCCGTCAACGGCCGCGCCGAGCCGCGCTCCCGAGTGCTGGGGCGAGTGCTGGGGTGCACGCTCGGTGGCCTGTGCGGATGGAAAATGTGGGCATCGGTCAGTGGCCTGTTTGAGGTTTGTCAGCCACTTCCAGCCACAAAATGTTACAATATGTTACAATAAAGGTATGCCATCCACTTGTGAACTGGGGTGGACATCCCAGGGTTGTGTGTAGGGTGTTTGACAAATATCGCACATCGCTTCTTGGCAGGCTTACCGCCAGTTCAAGCACCACCCATTTCTATATCAGCAAATCTCGAAGCTCCTATTACGAACTACATGTCCATAGATGGTTGTCGAATCACAAAAAGTTATCAGTTATCTACAGATCAATACATGTTCCCAGCACTCCCTCTAATTTGGTAGAGATTTGTGGGTCATTGTCATGGTTTCCAACCTTCCCGTCGGCTCTCCAGTCTGCCTTTCCAGCGGCTCTTCCAAACCTGACGGAGGGACGGAGATCGTCCGACCAACCGGGGAGATCCTCTTGGAGAAGGAACGGTTGTAGAATTTCTCTTTTGGTGGCTTTGAGAAGGGATCCAGTCAGCGGCTTCATGCCACATCGAATACCGATCAAAAACGAAATACCTTTGCCTCAACACACACCGACACACCGAATCCCGTACCCCCTGGAGACCGCACGTAGTGTGGCTGCCATGGCAGGTCACATGGCACCGAAGGCGGCGTTGCAAGCGGCACCGAACGTGGCTGACTGAGTGGGAAAGTGGCTGACTGGTTCAAGCGCATGCTCCACACTACAACACGACTCGATCTACCTACAGGCTGAAAGGCAAGCACAACATACCAAAATAGCCTGTGCAGTTGTGATTCCACTTCGTCTGACAAATCACATATGGCCGTTGTTCCATGCTCCACAACACCGATAAAAACACGCAAGGAAAGAAAAACTGGAAGAAAAAAAACAGCAAAAGAAAAACACACCAGAGAGAAACCATCAGCCCCACCGCAGGAAAGGCCCGCGTTCCAAATTGAGACCAATCGCCCGCGGCCGCTCCCCACCGAGCATAGCATCCGCACATCCCCTCCTAAGAGCGGATTTTGGAACCCACAAGGCTCCCAGCACCCGAGGTTGAGACAGTTTGGGAAGGCAATCGCATGAACGGAGATCGCCGTATCAAATGAGGAAGTTCGAAAGAACTTGAATGCACCTGGAACTTTTGAGGCCACGATTCCCGCGATGCGAACTCCACAGCCACGCTTTTCCTCCGGCCCAAGTCGCCTCAGCCTCTGGTGAGGCCCCACGTTGGAAGACCTGCAACGGGCACACCAGGCAGTCGCTCTGCTTTCAGGAAACCAACAGAGACCTCAGCATCCAAAGACCCCGTCTCACCTGGACTCCACGTCCACCTCCTCCACGGCCAGGCTTTACAATCCAATGGGTGCCTCCGCCAGCGCACATGTCGTAAGGTTGGTTCCACACTCTTTGGGAGGGGCCAACTGCGTTTGCTTTTCTGGGTGTGCTTGTGGTTCTATCAGTTGTGGGAATTCATTACCAAAATCCGACATGGAGCTTCCAAATTCAGGAGGCATCTGAAATGCAGGCTGACATGTTGTCTTGCTGCCCTGGGTTCCTGCCGATTGTGAATTGTAAGGCCCGCTACTATTTTTTGTTGGGTGGGGTCAAGACCCAGCCACACCCAGCCATCTGTTCTTTTCTCTAAAGCCGCAGAAGCTGCACACAGCCATGAGTGCAACAATGGCAAGCAGGATCACTTCCAGCCATGTCAATGCCCATTCGGCACACGAGTCAGTTTCACATTGGTGTCGAACGCATGACTTTCCCTCCTGTTCTCATGCATCATTCCGTGTAAGGCTGATCGTCATCATATGCCATTCCATGTCCATGGTCCAATGGATCCTCTCGCCATTGTCTGGATGGTTTCCACAGTGTTGGTCTGGGATCTGCTAACCAACAGGCTTCATCCCCCCACCTTGGCATCCTGAAGCCGTCTGCCCATGGCCCACCAGGAGCTACGCCAGTTCTATCCTTTCCCAGCCAACATAGGGCACATCCTTTCCTGGCCAACATAGGGCATATCAGCCAGTGCATTGTCACAAAGCACCAGGAGTCCTTTCACAGGGCACAGGGACGCTCAGGGTTGATATAGAGCGTAATTTAATGGTTTCGATCTGCCACAGGGACATGCTGCAGAATTCCATTGTTCCAAATGATCTGATGAACGGTTAATTGATCAAAAAACAGCGACAGTTCCCATACCATGCCATGCCCATTCAGACTGCCACTCTTTTGATCGAAACGTCCAGATGTGGAGACAACAATTCTCAAGCTCCCTCAATAATGCCCAAATCTCTTCAGAACCAAAGGCCCCAAACACAAAGCACTGTCCTGTGGCAACATCCCTTTTGAGGGGTAGTTACTCCATTGTCTCATAGAGGCATCATAGGCATCCAGCTCAAATCGCCCACCGCTTGAAGAACTCCTTCCCCTCAGCAACAACTCGATGCGAAGACATCCCACAGCCAAGGGCATGGTGTCAGGCATCCGTCTTCTTCGCTTGGGCGCGGCGTGAGGTGTCTCGCAATCACATTGGGAGCGGTGATTGACCCGCTCCTACTAGAGATGCCAAGTTGTCATCGTGGACCTCGGCCTCATCAGGCCTCGTTCAGTGGCCTTGATCGCATGAATTCTCGGAGGGCCACCGTGGCGTATTGCCCCGAGGCGAGGGTCATCTCCACAACAACGCAGACCTGCAGCGTGCGGCCGTGGAACCATTGGTGTGTGCAGGGTATGAAAACTAGAGCCCAAACTTCATCAAATCAAAACCTATGATGCTTCTTCACCAAAGACGTCCTCCTCTTTAAGGAAGTCATCTCCCCATATCTCTTGTCCTTTTCGTGTCTTCGCCTTCCACTCTGGGCCACAATGTCCCGCTGCGTGGCGCATGGCATCTTCCGTCCACAGCGGCCGCACGGCATCGTGGGAGACGCTGCGTCCCTTGAGGCGGTCGAGCGCCGAAATGAAAAACCGCTCGGCGGGCTCGTGGTAGCACAGGGCACGAGCTGACAAATGGCGTGGCTGCCTCAGCTGAACTTAAAAGCATCCCTCCGGGTCGGAAACTGAACGTGTAGTTGAGCGCATGTTTGAACATGAAGAAGTCATCCAAACCACAAAAGACCTGTAAAAACATGTACAAGTACACATGGTTTATGCCAGTGGGTGTGATCAATGCCCGGAGCCTGACGCAAAACATGCGCTTAGTCTAATTATACTCTCTCTCTCTCTCCATAGATTTGACTCCAAATGGTTGTTTTGGGTGTTGTTGAACCGCTGCCAAATATGACATACATATCTAAATCATTCTAAATCAATATTTATATATTTTTGGTATTTATATAATTCTATATCCATATCTGTATTCAAACTTGGCCGTCTAGGGGGGCTGCACAAAGTTGAAGCTGGGCAAGGCCCTAATTGAATATGTTCTGTCAAGGCACAAGATCCAATGTATCCATGGACCGATCTTTCTGGGGAACCAGTGTTCGGTCCTCGGATGTCATGTCCTCGTCCTCATGTCCTCTTCAAGTTCATTTGGTGGCTGCATCTGTTTTCTCCTCCTTCCCTTCAATCCCGTACCCATCCAGGTGGCACTATACAATGCCTGTAGGCGGTTGCGCGATGGTTCTTCTCCAGTGGGCCCAGCAAGTGCGCAAGCTCGTCCATTGACAGGTCATGTTCCTCCAAAAAGGTGCCACAGAAGCTGCAGGAGAATCACAGGGGTTGATCGACGATCTTTCCAACGTCCAACCCTTCGATGTCAATACCAAAACCACTGAGCCCACTGAGCCTCTATAAGTATGGCAGCTCTCCGCTTCAACCACCGCAAAGTCTGCATGGAGTGTTTGAGAATCGAAGGCAACACACACACACACCTAATTTCCAGTAAACACATATAGTGAAACCCACACATTGGGTCTATCCTATTACCTGTAACAGTGGATGATGAGGGTTAGTAAAGGCCTTGTTCAAAAATCATGATACCGTAATTGTGTACGGACTGTTGCAGGTAAAAGGACAGACCCAGCTCACACAAATATTGGATGGAGTTTTGTAACCTTGGCCTCAAACGTCTGTTGGTGGATTCCCAAACGACCGAAGAATGATGGGAAGAGCAAAGAGAGGAATTCCGCCAACTGCCGGTTGCCACGCCCCAGACACTGGAGCGGAATCGCCAGCAAGCAGGAACCCACTCCAAATCGCAGGGTGCAAAGCTGTTGACGACAAACCAATGAATCATAAATTGCCTAACTTGTCAAGTTCAGCTTTGACGTTTAAAAACCGCTGCACAATTCAACCAACTCTGTTTATGGCACTGGCTTCCAGCACAGCTCTCATGGCACACACCAGCTTTTGATTTCCACTTCCAGCTACTTCCAGCAACCTGGCCTGCCCCACGCCCCGCCGCCCCACGCGATGCGCCTGTAAGACCTCCTGGTAGATCTGTCGCATCAGTACCGACAGGTTCTCATGCCACTCCCTGGGGCCGGCGATGGGCAGCAGCACATCCGTGATCAAGGCCGTCTCGCCTGTGGAGAAGGGATCTGTTTTTGGCACGCCTGACTCATCAGTGGGATTTGTGGTTGTTGTGAATGAACCTGTTCCAGCTTTTATGTTGATTCCGGGTCTGGTGGTGTGATAAATGGACCTGTTTCAGGTGAACTTTGATTCGTCTCACCGGCGCCATCTGCATGGTCTGAGTCTGTTGGATCTATGTTGTCCCAAGGTATCTTCGGAGCTTGGCCAAACAGAAATCCAGAATGGTCGAAGGCAGGGAGCTCAAGGCCTTGAAAGTGTGAAATCAGTCAACACTCTCAGCTTGGCTGGTGGATTCTGAAGCAGCCACCTACAAACAGTACAAAAAACACTGCTGCCCTTCCTTTGGGGAATCCATCCGGATATAAGTGCCATGATTCATATGAGTTTTTGGAGCACTGGCACTGGGCAAAGTAATTTTGCATCATGCTGAGGGTCCCGTCGAGGTAACTAGTACTGCTGGCTGTTTCAAGAGCAATCCGGGCTGCCGAGATTTTTTCCGCTGTCTGTCTTCATCACCTACAGCATCTACGAATCTACACATGAGTTGACTGTCATTACCCCAGCTCCACTCCCAGCCTGGCTCAATCCGCCGCACCTTGGGCGGTCCCCGGTGCTCCGGCACCAAGGAGGCTTTGTCATAGACGAGGTCCCCAGGCAGAACATCGGAACCGAAGGCTGACAAACGGCGCCCAAGGACTCGGTTCCACAAGTCAGAGGTGAAGGATCTCCTCAGGCGTCGTGCCATCGGACGTGCGTCGCAGGCGCTACAGCGACAAAAGGGTGAAACATGCTGGAAGAGGCAACAAGAAACATCAAAAACCAACCTCAACGCGAGACCTCCCGATCAAACCAAACCAATTGGAAGAGGATCTGCATGTTCACCACCTGCAGTCGTCTTGAATACCCTCTTGTGCAACTTCCAAATGCCCAAAACGCCTTGGTGGGACGGTCACAAAACCCGGTGCCCCTCCAAGACGATGTTTCCCCTCCCGAAAGAAATCGAAGTCTTGATGCACCGCCTAATGGCCTAATGGGTTCCGAGCACGTGCTGGTGTACAAAAGAGCTCCTTCTGTACCGCTGCCACTGATTGACCATGATTGACCAAGAATCACAAAGAGCAAGAGCTGCTGGGTCTGTAAAGCCCTGACAGCACCGGCAAAGTCCACAGACGGCGCAGCCCACAAGTGTCGCAGGACCTCCCGTTCCATGCCGCAGCGCCGGGGCATCAAGTTGAGAAGAGCTTGATATCCTTGGCTCCAGCATCTCGCGTTGGAAAATGTTTGTGTATGAGATTTTGTGTCCAGCGGTCACTCAACATTTGTCATTCCCATGCAACCATCCAGTCACCCTCAGTCATGGCTCATACCAACGATGAGAGCACAAACCTTCGGAACTGGTGGTGCTTGAAATTGGGCACCAAGAACTGCCATGAAATCCAACAGCCTTAGGAGCTGAGTGGTGTCCTGCAACCTGCAGTTGATGTCGGCTTGCACGTCAACAACTTTGAGGCAAATCTTTTTTGGAACGGTCCCCTAGTAACCAGGGCATCGCTACTACTAGCTAGTAGCGAAAAGCCCTTTCCCCAAAACGTGGGGTGTGCCAGAACCCCGCAGGCTGATCCTCCAAGCTTCTGCCAGCCCGGAAGGCCTCCTGAAACTCGCTCGTGGCCTCATGCATGCTACCTGAGTGGAGTGAGCATTTCGATTCAACAAAGTGATGCAAGGGCATTTGTGTGGAGAATTCACACAGAATCCGGCTTTTGTGTTTCATCCATCCCACTTTGTAAAATATCCAAGGTGCACGGACCCTAAAAACATCTTAAAAGCAGGGTCGTCACCAAAAGGACCTTAATGTACAATTGTCGAAGTTTGTAAGCGCTGAGCACCATAAGGCCGCCAAGTCTTGTCTATGTTCCATGCATTTCATTTTCATAGATGGCAAAAGGCTGATGTAGAACAAACCCATGAAAATACATGGAAATACCACATCCTCTACTGAAAGACCCCGGTTCGGGATCGCTGAAAAACCTGAAAGCTCACGATTTCTGTTGACGTCGAAAGCGTGTGTATCGCAAGGTTGTGCTCACACCGAGGTCCAAAGTGCAGCTTATCAGTGCATGTCATGAGACAAGAACTATCGGTTGCCCAGTGAACATATCGGATCATGCGCGGCAAGGGTACGTAACAAGTAGGTCCACCTCCAAGATATTCGAGGTCCTACCTTTCAACGCAGGACGGACCAATCAAAGGTATGTTTCACCGATGAGGATCGTGAGAGTAGCAGGGTCCGCAGGGTCCGCAGAGTTACCACAATCGAACTTCGGACAAGTACGGGAGAGTTGTTCTGGACCCAGGTCCGCCTGTCATCCAAAAGGGCCCAAACAAAGGTGCCGTAATTTGTGGAGCCCAACCCCCCCCCCACTGCTTTGGCCCAAACACAAACGATCAGCTCGCAGGCCAGCTCGTAGTCTTGGGTGATGATGGCACGCCCGATCTCTGGCCCCGACCTGTGGGGTGCACGGCCGTCCAAGTCGGGCGCAATCTTGGAGGATCTCAACGAAGAAGGACAAAGAACCTTCAAGATTGCGAACCCTGGCAAGGTAAGGCTGAAGAACAAGGATCCCAAACCCTTATATACTGACCCTTACTGTGGGATCACCGCGATTTCTCGCCACCCCGATTTCTCGGGCGGAAGAATAATGGCCATAGCTGGCTGTTCGATGGTCGTGGTGCGATCATTGATTCATCTCTGCATAACTCTTGTGCTCAAAGCTTCACTCAAGTTCCAGAGTGGGTCTAGTTGCGTCGGTCTCTATGAGCGCCCCGATTTGATTGGAAGAACTCCTGCACCCATCAGGTCTGCGGGTGTTTGCTATCCCTCTGTCGTCTCACCTGCGTGAGCCGCCCAAGCGCTGCTGGCCAAAGTAGTTCACGAAGCTGAGCACGGAGCGTTCCAGAGTCGACACCCATCTCTTCGAAGGGCGGGAAACCGCCCTCCGAAACAAACAGATGTAAAACCCCCGTAGGAAACCTGAAGAACAGCAGCTTTGAATTTTATTTGATATATTCACCACTTGGTTTCCTTGATGCTCCAACACTTCCAAACTGACTTGCCAACGGCATCTGTGCTGAGCTTGGACACATAATTTCACATATTACATATCATACACCAACTCTTCAATCAGTTCTTTCCCTCTTGGTGCTTCCTCCCATAACAACCTCCCATCTGTTCTGAAATACTTAAACACCACCATGCTGAACTGCCTTCTATGCCGCACCTCCATCTCCAGACTTCTTCCCGGATCAGCCAAAAAGCGCCTCTTGACCTCCAAGGAACCCGAAACGGCGCAGCTGCTCCGTCGCACTTCGCAACCGCTCGTTCAGCAGCACTGGTCGCTGGAGCAGCTTCAGGCCACTGAGACGCTGACCGTCCTGAGTGGAAGATGCCCCAGTGGAACCCCATCCCAACTGCTCTGCCGATTCATATCTTCAGATTCATCTTCCGCTGGGTTTGCAGGAGGTGACCTACGGACCCCGAAACCGGATCCCATCATTCGTGCGAGCAGTTTAGGCGGGGTGGTGATCATCGCGATGTGAACACTATTTGCTTGGTAGGCAGACTGCTAATATAAGACTTGAGGCCAAGGGGGGGGGGCGAAAGCTAGCGCTCCAGAATGGGAAAGTGGAGGGCAGCGAGGTAGGAAAAAACACGGCGGTGAAGAGTCCTTTATATGTGGCTCTTTGCCCGGATCCTCCTGCGAGAGAAGAGAGAGAAGAGAGACGGAAAGACGAGAGACAGAGAGGAGAGAGAGAGAGAGGAGAGAGAGATGAGAGAGATGAGAAAGAGATGAGAGAGATGAGAGAGATGAGAGAGATGAGAGAGATGAGAG